TGGCAGGAAATTAGTGTTGTGAGGGGAAAGAAAGATAAGCATACAAACAGATGGCCTAGAGATCCTCATCTAAACTTTTTGAAGGCCTCACTGATTTGCAACTGAACGAGATTGAAACTTACACAAGAGCCACACCATGTATCTGTATGTAGTTTGGTAAATTGTGCTTAAATGACTGTGAAACTCTATAGCTTATTATTAGTGAGCATTCAGTTTATTAAAAATTATTTTATTGTCTTATAAAAACCTCAACATACATTCACCAATATTATTTGAAAGGATGTATGTCAAAACCTTGGTGTTTATCTTTTGTCGGTGAGATTAATTTATGTGTTTGGCTTATCTACATTTTCTAATTTGGCCAGTTAACCAAGTGTTATTTATGTAATCTGTGTATTACTAATTTGATGTACTGTGGTGACCGTTTGGGTCATTACTCTCTGCTTTGTTTTCATAGCCTGGCTTATAAAAAGGTCTTTGTTTTCAAGGTCTAAGTCCAGGGAGTGTGGCCGAGAAGTGTTTTAACAGAGGATGGAGGCTTCATGAGGTGAAGGAAAAAGGTGGTTGGGATCTGGAGAAGGGGAGGAAGCCTGGCAAGGGGAGACACCCAAGGGGAGGCAGGGCACAGAGCCGTCTCCAAGTGTGCCCTACAGAATGGGTTGACTGCTTAAGGATGGGTGCTGAGAAGCACCACCTCTAAGATCACTGTGGGTAAAGCCCCTTGTGGAAGGTGTGCCTCTGTTGAATCAGGAAGACTGGCAGGTTTAGCAATGGTAGTGGGACCACTGGGAATAGAGGACTAGGACTGCCCCTGTCCTCTCTCCCCCTCTCCTATAATACCTGATATTGGACTCTCAGTAACTCTGAATTAGGTTCTTATGCTGGATTGAGTTTGGTTACATTCCCAAAGTAAATGGACCAGTAAAGTTGATTTCTGTCTAGATTGAGGCTGGAAGAAGGCCTGACTCTGACCCGGTGGGTTGCACATCATCCCTGTCTTCCTGATGTTGCCTTCAAATGGTCTTTCTCATTTACATATTCACACATAGGGTATTAAAAAAAAACCAATACCATTACCTTATATAATCCTTCACACTTCATATAAAATGGATGCTCATTTAAAGATATCAATTAATTCAATGAAAAGGTTCTTGTGATTGATATCCAGATGATTAATTATGTAAGTGAAACATCTCCTCTAATTAAGGAAGAGTAACAGCTGGTGCAGTGCTGCATGGTTTTGGAAAATGGAAGTAGCCTCTGAAGATAAGCATTAGTGGAGAGTCTAATGTGACTTTGAGATAATCTCTGTCATATTTCAGTAGTCTGTACTGACTTTTCCTCGAGGATTCATGAAATTGAAGAATTTGGCCTTGCAAAGTCACTGAAATATTGACTCACTCATCCCGTGCCTAGAAACACATGAGAGGCTTAACACTATGTGCGTTATCAGGACAGACCTCTTTTAAAGTGAAAGAATGATCACTCCTCTTGTTCAGACATGATGCCAGTGGACCCATTTGATTAAAAAAATAAAAGAGGACAGGTATTTTTTTAACTCTGCATTGTCTTATTTTCCCAGAAATAGCTCTCTTCTCCTGAAAAAGACAAGAAACGCTCCTCTGAGTGAACGTGATTGCTTGATTCCTTCTAATTCTAACCATATGACACCTATTACGCCTTATTTAACTGATGACATATGGTTTTCCCTTCTTAACTACTTTTACAACAAATCTTTATTACATCCCTCAAAAATAATTTCCATACATTGCAAGTTCACGCTGTGTATGTCCTTGTTCTATGCACAACATGGACTTCCTTGTCTCTTAGAACAGTCATACTGAGTGTGGGAAGCATTTTTCTCTTGATTTTTAAATACAAGGCATAAAGTAATTAGGTGACTTGCCCAAGTCTAAATTCAAGTGGAATTTAGACTGGGACCATTTGTGTCTGGCTTCAGAGGCCAAGCTTTAAATACTACCCTCTCCTTGAAGGGATCCAGTCCCCCTCAAGCTCAGTCACCCTATACCTCATTCTGTTTTTAATTTTTTAAATAGAGTTTAAAGCTTTCTAGCTTCTGGGTGTTGTAGACTGTTGTTTGATTAATCCTCACCTCCACTTCTGCTAGAATATGAACCTGAGTGTCGAGATCTCTCCTTTTCGTTGCTACAGAACAGCACCTAGAATGGTATCTGGAATGGCAGAGGCATGTTTGTCCAATAAATGGAAATAATTGGCAGGGCTTTGATTTTCTGCCTTCTTGTTCCCAGGCTAAGAGAAAGACAGACTTACGTGGACAATTAAGGAGTAACATGAAAAGTACCCTAAGAGAGTTAGGAAGACGGCTAGTGAAATCACAGAGATCTCACTGATGAGCTGTTACTTGCTCTGAGTATTATGGAGTGAAGAAGGGCGTGGAGAGCAAGAGCAGATACAATCTCAGAAGCAAGAAGTCGGGGTTTGAGTGGGAAATGGTGAAGTAGTCTTATGTGTCTCACAGCCTGTGAAGAGGCACATTACTCAGTCTGGGGGTTCGTCCTGCAGGGTCCCTAAGGACACTGAACCAGCGGTTATCATAGCCTTTGTTATATTCTTTATACTTTACTATTTACCTCCCAGTCTCACCAATGAGGCTGCAAGATCTTTAATGCAAGGACTATGATGATTTGATCCCTTTTAGATAGGGACTTTGCCTTAATTATTTTTGTCTTCTCATAGCTTATTATGGTGCTGGTACTTGGTGGTCCTCAGTACATGTATTGGGTCAGTCATTTTCATTTAGTCATGTGTGACTCTTGTAATTCCATGAACTATAGCCTGCCAGGCTCCTCTGTCCATGAGATTTCCCAGGCAAGAGCACTGGAGTGGGTTGCCATTCCCTTCTCCAGGGAATCTTCCTAACCCAGGGGTCAAATCCAGGGCTCCTGCATTGCAGGCAGGCTCTTTATCGACTAAGCCACCAAGGAAGCCCAGTACATATATGTGCTGTGCTTAGTCAGTCAGTCGTGTCCAGCTGTTTGTGACCCCACAGACTGTAGCCTGCCAGGCTCCTCTGTCCAAGGGGATTCTCTAGGCAAGAATACTGGAGCGGGTTCCCATACTCTCCTCCAGGGGAACTTCCCTTCCCAGGGATCAAACCCAGGTCTCCTACACTGCAGGCAGATTCTTTACCATCTGAGTCACCAGGGGAGCCCAGTATATGTATAATGGATAATAAATGGACAACGAATGAATTAGTGGTGAATGAAGGAATGAGTGAATGACATGGCTTAATAGCAGTTTATTTAAAAAGAGTTTTGAATTTAAGTTGAGCAGCAAAAATAGCTAATGTGGTCTTAGGTAGAATAACAAAAGTATAGTGCCTGATATATGAGTATCTAGAATATTGGAATTTCAGAGATTAGAAATGATGGGGAAACTGAGACTAGACATGTGAGATGCCTTGCTCATGGTTCCACCCCAAGTTTGTGGTCAAAGTAGGATTTGCATTTAGAGATCACGACTCTCAGTTAAATTTGCTTTTTACAAGTTCTAAAAATACTATATATATATATATATATATGTATATTCTGTGCTGGTCAGACCACAACAGTAGCAGACTGTGCAGTTCTGAGCTATACACTTAAAGATCTATAGCTGCAAAGTAGCATCTGTCCACGAAAGGATGATGCAGATGCTAGCGGAAAGTGGAAACCATATCACGTGAAGATGAGATGAAGACAGTAGGATATTTCACCTAGAGAAGAAAATACTTGCAAAGGGTCAGAATGTACTTTCAAAAATGAATGGGAAAACATAGTATATCTGTCCTAATATTTTAAAATAGATAAGTCATTCTTCCTTTGCTCCAGAGAGGAAAAACAGAAGCCATGTGTAGAAACCATAGAGAAATAAATTTCAACTCAATATGAAAAAAATGGTCTTTCAAAATTAGAATTGACCAAGAATAAAATTCCAATCGATTAATATATATGCAAGAAGAGGGTAGATGATTATGTCAGGATGAGATTGTGAGATCCTTTAGAGTAGAGATCATATTTTAGTTGTATTTCCCTTAGACCTTGAATTATGCCTGGTTTGGCTTTAGTTACTCAGTCATGCCCGACTCTTGTGACCCCATGGACTGCAGAACGTCAGGCTCCTTTGTCCATGGGATTTCTGAGGCAAGAAAACTATAGAGTGGATTACCATTTGCTTCTCCAGGGAATCTTCTGGACCCAGGGATGAAACCCGCATCTCCTGCACATGTCTCCTTCATTGCATGTGGATTCTTTACCCCTGAGTCACCAGGGAAGTCCCAGGATAATGCCTGGCACATAGTATATGCTCTCTTAAGATTTGTTATGTGTCTTTTTAAAAAGAATTCTTTCATGGATTAGGTGAGCATGGAAGTGAATAGGAATATACTGTATTATGAACTCAAGGGCTTTTGGAACACTTAGGTTTATGATCCTTTGATAAGCAAAGTAATGTATCAATATTTAATGAAGCAAGTCATTTCATGCTATTACAAGTAAAAGCCAGTGGAATTGTTGTTCCCTTCAAACTTTGCTAAGCCCTGTGGTGTTGCATTTTTGTTCTTCCCTTAGGAGAAGGAAAGATTTGCTACAACCCTTGTCTTACACAAAGGCAATCACAGCTAGTTACATCTCTGTACCTGGTGATGAAACTAAAATTTCATGTGGAAGTTTAAATAGAGTTTGTTTGTACAGATAGCCTACGACCAATTTATGGAAACATGTGAATGATGGTTATGTCTATAGATTCACACTTTTCAAAGTGATGACTAACCTAGAAAAGCAGATTTTTCCACAGAGTCCTATATCCTATTTAGGCTGTCACCTTTAAAAAATGTTTTAACAAATATCTTAAATATCACTTCAGGAAACTTATTTTTCACTGAATATTTTATTTTCAGAATGTGTTGGTTTGACATTTGTCCTTTTTTTGTGTGTGTGTGGCCACAGAAGTGTCATTCCTTTCAGTATATGCAGAGGTCATTTGAAGGAGACAAAGAAAGCTTTCTTTAGATTACTGTGTTAGCCACAGAAAGCTGTGAAAATCTAAATAATAATAAGGCAATTATTTGATTTGTTATTTTCATCTTATTCCTTGAGAATTTTTACAGTTTACTTTTTCCAAAATGGTCATGCCTATTTATATGCTCAAAAATCTATATCGATTTCCCACTAAGGTCTTTCATATGCTATGGGATTAATTTTCATTCTTATCACATTTATCTGTTTTTATGAAATATTATCATCTTAGTTCCATTTCAAATAATGCTGCTGCATTAGCCATAAAGTTATTCATGAGGTATTTGGTTGTGATTCTAACTTATTTTTAAAGAACCATATACTATAAATATAGCAAGGTGCTTCTGAGAATTCATGATTTGGTGTTACCCATTTAATGATGTTATTAAAAATTTTCCCTAGTTGTTAATTCCATGCACCTAAATGGAATAGATTTTGTGTTCTGTGCATTCCTAATATGTAGCTTGTTCAGGACCTTTCATATATATGCACTTAACTGGAAGAGTCTAAGGTATTTCCCAAATAAAAACCAATATCTTTTTTCTCTCTCCTTTATGAGTTATAAAACACTTTTCCTCCCCTTCTTCTTTAATTTATTTGCCAGAGATTTTTCTGCTCTGGGGATGAAAATGGAAGACCAGGGAAGAAAGTTGATGAGACAGAGATGATTCAAATATCTGAAATATTTTATCCTCACTCGATATAAAGTATTTTTTCTCTTTTCCAATAACCATCATTTTCCTTGATCTTGGAATCACTCAAAACCTAGCCACTGAGTCCTGTATAAACTAATGCTTTGTCTCAAGATGTGGAGAAAGATAAAATACTGATACCTGTACAGAGGTACTAGCTTGATTATATTTACAGTTATGAGATACTGCAAATTTAAGAATGCCAATTTTTTCTCATCACTGAGTATTTATTATATATAACAAATACATGGGAAAGAAAAAACTATATTGTGTGATATAAATAGTTTATTTACATTACAGAAAAAACATCAAGACAATGTATACTATTTCAAATATATCCATACATAATCAAATATAGCTGTAGTACATGTTTTCATTGGTGTAGATTACCACAAATGCAAGGCAACATGTGTAGATCTCTTGTCTTATTCTTTTGTCTATAATACTGTATTGTGTAGTCCAAGCTTTCGGTAGTCCAGCCACTGTGCAACATGCTCCCTTTAGATTAACCTCGTGGACGCTCTTGTTGTGTTGTCTGAACTGTAGTGCCCTGTATTTTGCTTCTGTCTGTGAATTCTGTTGCTTCTGGGGCATTTCCTAGAAGGTTGGAAAGTTTACAAATCTTAGTCCAGTGCTATTACCTGAAGTCCAGTCCCACAAAAACAGAGTGAAGTTGTAGATTAAGCAAATCATTAAAATATTTCAGATGTAAGAATTTATTATTAGCAGAAGCTGGAATTACTTTGGAAGAGGTTTTTGGTTTTGTTTTTGCTTCTCCTTGCAGTTGTCTTTAAGTGTCTATGAAGGAGAACTGAAGAACAGAGATGGGAGTTCAAGAGGAATACATGTACCTAGTCTGCGACTGCTTACTCATTAAGGCAAGAAGAATGACTCAGCACAATGCAATCAAGCAAGTGTGAGCCCATCTAATCTCACGTTAAAGTCTTCAACAACTTTATATTTTAAACATCCCAAGGGTGAATGTTATATTGATATTTCAATGCTAAAAGTTTAAATTTTATCAAACCAGAGAATGAGCCAACTGTTAATATAGGATCTGTAAAGAAAAGGGGTATTGTTTTGGTTCAACCTAATATCATTTTTGTATATGAATACTATAAGCTAGAGACATAAATTGGTACTGATTATTTAGCTTCTATACAAGGCTAATACTCAAATTATTTAAAGAGCTCTGATCTTTTATGATAAAGCAATGCTTTGATGATACAAATAAAAATAATAATATAGAGTTCATATAAAATCCTATTATAACAGCCTATAGAGTATCAGAAAATACATATTCATATATATGTTCATATATGAATAAATGTATATAGTGTATATATGTATATATATATGATTTGGAGAGGGAAGCAGATCTGTCAAAATGAACATGGAGCTGGAAGCCACATTCCTCAAAAGTAAAGAGAAGACAGATTTTGTTTTTACATGGAAAGTGAAAACAGATGTGTGCCTAAAAAAGTGGCCAGCCTAATGTGGGGCTCAATTTAGGTTATCTTGAATAGCATAATACAAACATCATGACCAGTGGAAGGGGCAGTATGAGTGATGATGAAATGCACAAGCTCTGATATTAGGCGACCTAGACTTCATTTCTGCCCTGGTTGCTAACCTGTGTACACTCAGCAGCTTGCTGTCTTCTCATACCTGAGTGCCTATCTTGAAAATGGGGATAATTGTTCCCTCTTCATAAAGTTTTCACATGTATATTTATTTGTGTGTGTGTGTGTGTACACATATATGACACACACACACAGACACACACACACAGAGACACACAATTTCTGGGGGGATAAGGACCCTATGTATCCCAGGTTTTATTATGTATGGAAATGAAACTGTGATTAATAAGACTTTTAAACATCTGCTTAAGCATTGAAAGTTCTGCATTTTTGTTAGTACATGAAGTAGCAAATCAAATTATGAGATTAGATCTATTACATATGAATTTCATTTTTCATATGCTGATATTGTTTAGATATTAGAAGGCTCAAGACCCTTGGAGTAATATGGCACAACTTCCTGTGTTTTAGATGCTTTTCTATCTTTTCTTTTACACTTAGTGTTTTTGATTTAGGTTATTTTTACACTCCCCAGAATCTATTTTAATGTAATCCATTGACTCACTTGGCATCTAAACATGAGAGTCGAGTTGATGAACTCAACTTGGCTTCGAGCAGCACACAGCTCCCGTTGATGATCTTCCCTTAAGCCTCTAGGCCAGGGAAGGATTTATGAACCACATTTTGTCTTTTTTCAAGAGCAAATGCCACACTTGTCCTCAAAGAAGATAGCACAATACAGATACTGAGATATATTAGGACTTTTATTTTCTACAGATATGATACTTTTATTTTCTTGTCTTCTGAAAATAATTTTTTGGGAAACATTTTGATTTACTGTAGAGCTGCACAAACGATTGAAAGTCTAAATGCCTTGTGAATTTGGCAGAAACCTTGAAAAACTTCCTTGGAACTCTTCTCTTGAGCAGAGTGAAATCAGATCAGAACAGAATATCTTCAATAACATTTTTGGTTAGACCAGGATATAAATAATATGCATTTGGTCTGAAATTTATTTCTTGGTTACCATGAATTTACACGCTAATGAAGTTAAGCACTTACCTGGGCTCTGTCCTCTACTCCAAGCCCATTGTCAGAGATTAGTAATTATTCTTTTTTTCTGTTGAAACTGGATGAGATCTCTGTATTGCTCTCAACCCAACTCTCCAGGAAATAATTACTGTTTGATTGTTCTGGGGTTTGATATGAAAGCTTCTTGTGAAATTTGCTGTGTGTTTCCATGTTTTCATGTACTACAACATGATCATTCTCACCATAATTATTTTCTTTGAATTTTGTGATTAAAGTTATTTTGCTAAGTTAAGATAAACATGAATTTGTTGTTTATATCAAATAAGTTAAAAATGGTTATACCTGAGAGTTATACTTAGAAATATAAGTGCTATAAGTGAGAGCTATAATTTAATATTTTCCTGGGTCTTCTATAAAATCTATTCTGATCTTATTTGGCATGCTGAGATCTTCCCAACCCATGGATTGAACCTGGGTCTTCTGCATTACAGGTCGATTCTTTACCTTCTGAGCCACTAGGAAGCGTGAGTAAGGAAATGCTGGTCATTTAAACAGTCTGTTAGTTTGAATGAAGACTGACTTTATAGTTAGAAGTGAAGAGCATATTTAAACAAAGACTGGCATTACACATTAGAAGAGGAAAGAAAAGGTCTTTGCTTAGAAAATAAATAATCCTCATCAAAATGCAAAAATAAGGAAAAAATTTGTACTACTCCAGCAGGAAAGTCATTGTCTTTCCGTTTGGCTATTTAAATGTTATGATGAAGAAATAGGACTCTGGAGAATGGATGGTTGTGGAGTCCATGAAGGGACCTGTAATTAGAGTGATTTGACTCAGACAAGGAGGAATGATGTATCCCTTTATGTGGGTGACCATTGAGTGTAGTTACTGACCTTGTGATGCAAAGAACTACCACACAGATGACGGCAATCTGAATCGTTCCAATCACAGCTGCGATTAAGACGTACTGAAATCTGACAGGGCCAGGAACAACATACAGTACACTGTAATCCTTTTTTTCACAGTGTTGTCCAGTATAACCAGCATCACACCTGGAACAAATGATAGCGTCCAGTTACCTAAAGCCGCAGTACTCATTTTTATAGTTGGCCTATGGCCATTTCTCTTCATTTTGAAATTAGGGCCTTTTGTTTCCTTTTCCTGCCTTTAAAAAATAGTACTTTGTAGATTTGTTTCTCAAATACTTATTTTCAATAAGATATCTTTGTGTTTTTTATTTCAAAGATACGTGGTTTCTTTTTATACTTATAATAATAGAGATTGAAGATAGGAGGGTTGGTAGATGATAGTGATAGTATAGGGAGATGATAGAAGCCCAGGAATAACTGTTCTATTTTTTTTCAGGTGAGCTTTACATTTTATTTAACTTGCTCTTTAATTAACCTAAGTCAACATAATTACTTGGGAAAAGGCTTGTTCCTGATGACATGAGTGTAAAAAATAATGCTATTTATTTATTTTTTGGATAAAGCATTCTCTATTGAATAGTTAGAATGTGTTAAAAGATATCTTAGGGCCAGAGGTACAGCAAGACTGATTTCTTTAATTTACTGGTCATAAAGTTGTCTGCTTATGTTAGAGAGTTGAATTTCAGTAGTAAAAAGGTAATTACAATGTAGGCAACAAGGTTTAGCAAAACAAGCCCATGTGTAGTCATCTGAGAATGAAGACTGCCTCTCTGTCAATCAGCCCTCATCAGAAAGCTCAGGTAGATGTGTTAGAATCAGCAGTTGACCATGAAATGAGGAAACAGCTCACATGAGAATAACACTAGTGGGGATCAACTTGTCATTGACTTTGTGCAACTATTTTAGTACCTCACTTTGAATGTCTCATAACTATATCCTAGGACCTGTGGTTTCTGCATCAGGAGGATTTAATGATGAGAGCTCTGCTGGGAATGACAGAATAGTGGGAGCAGCTCCTCAGTCTGCCCGACTCTGCTGGAAGGCAGGTGCTCATGTGCTCAGTGAAGGAAAATATGAAAGGAAGATAGATCTTGAGAAAAAGAGAGAGAGAGGAAGGAAGACAGAAGGATAAGATGAAGAAAATGAAGGAGGGGAAAGAGATGAAAAGGGGAGGGGGAGAAGGGAGGGAAGAGAAAAAGAGAGAGACACTCCTTTCCCTGTATAGCAATATGCAACCTGTTTCACCATTTGCCACTTGTATGTGCTGTTAGTTTGGAAAAGATGACCTACCCAAAGCAACCATGTTATCTGACTTAGAGTGAGGCCTCATCCAGTCATTTGAGAAATATTTGTCAAGTCTCTAATCTGTGCCAAGCACTGCTCTGCATCCATGGGAAAGAGTGGTGAATGAACCAGAGGAGGCCGTGACTTTAAGGAACTTGTAATGCCCAAGGTACAATTTAAAATTCTACCAGCAGAGTGTATATAATGATGTGTTACATAGTACTTGGCTATGGAAGGTACACAGATATTGTTTTCTTGTGTGTGTGTGTGTGTGTAGGAGAGGCAGAAAAAAGAGTGGCTGCTGATCACCCACTCAGGCAGATACCATCCAGAATTTAGTTTCTATATTTTTACTTTATGCATTTAAAAGTTAAAGGGTGAAATCCTTACCTGCAGGATGGCTCCTGCATATTGATAGAATGCTCACACTTCCCATGCATGCAGAAGCCGTTGTAGTGTTCTGGGCAAGGTATGTGGTGTTCTCTGGCACTTTCTTCTAATTTGTTAGCATTCTCTGTGAATACAGATAAAAGCAACATCCCCTGTAAATACTTTCTTAGCCCGGTAAGATCAACCAGGATATTAAGAAGCAAAGCTACAGTAGGCAAAAATATTTAAAAGGGCAAGAATTAAAAGGCCATATTTCAGAAGAAAGACAGAGAAAGAACTGAAAGACAGATGTCTTTCAATTGTGTTTCGAGATGAAACTGCAAAATTACCCAGTGCTTTTCATGCTTTTATGTAATTTCCTACATCTTTAAGAGCCAGTAATGTTTCTATGAGTTGTCAGACAGCTTTAACTTTCCTTGTGTAGAGACAGTACATTGATCATAAAATAATTCAGGAAGAAATATCCTATTTTGTGAATTTCAAAACCCCGCATAATGTCCCTAAAAGTAAATTGCTGCAGTGCCTTGACACTCTCTCCATGTGGGAGCTTAAAAGTTAAAATATGGCCGTGTTCAATTGTTAAACAGAAGTTTTCCAAACCAAATGCAAATTTCAACAAATGTATTCTTTCAGGCTTTTTTCATCTACAGTGAACATGAATTTTCCTAGCACCCGCACATTTTCTTATTGCCTAAATAATGCTATTGAAAGAGCAAATGTTATTTCAGAATCACTTATATAGATCCTAACACAGTATTTCTAAATGCTGTGAGTATATTCTAATTCATAATATTTGGCCTATGTTTACAATGTCATGTGAAACTTAAACTTATGATAAAGAAAAAAACTTCTGTTCTAAAATGAACCCTTTCCTCTGTCATTAAGTCTTGTTTTCTCATGTTTCTATAAAGATAGTAAATATTTTTCCTGACCTTTGTTAGTTGAAATACATTTGCTTCCCATTTGTAATACCATTTCTAAGCAGTCTTTTGATTCTTTACATGTTCATTTTATAATGTAAAGTTTTGCCTTTTTTGAGTTTCTTCTATAATCTGAGACCTGATATACTTTAAGATTCTTGCCTAAAGTATGAGAAATGTAAGTCTCTCGACTTTTCATTTCCCTGGAGGTCCAGTGGTTAAGACTCCAAGCTTCCAATGCAAGGGGCACAGGTTTGATCCCTGTTCAGGGAGCTAAGATCCCACATGCCATGTTGCATGGCCTCCAAAGTATAAAAATAATAATGCTTTTCAGGACCACAGTAATTGGTCAGCAGTATGGTTTTTTTTCCAGCGATGGAAGATTGAGAATAAATTACTATTTTTATGAAACAGATCATCTCCTACAATTTCTATACAGGGGTATAGCTTTTCTTTTATTATAGTGCATTCTTATAATTTTTTACTGTCCATCATGTGTGCATGCCAGGTCGCTTCAGTTGAGTCTGACTCTGTGACTCCATGAACCTGCCAGGCTCCCCTGTCCATGGGATTCTTTAGGCAAGAACACTGGAGTGGGTTGCTGTGCCGTCCTCCAGGGAATCTTCCCAACCCGGGGATCGAACCTGGGGCTCCTGCGGCTCCTGTGCTGCAGGCAGATTCTTTACTGCTGAGCCACCGGGGAAGCCCCTTACTGTCCATCATAGATGATTACTATATTCATCATGAGAAAAAATGTTCCTTCAGTATTAGTGAAGTAGGCAAATGTATTATTTATGTTTAAGCAGAGCTATAAAAACCTTTAAATTTCAATACCTAGGTTGTCATCTGAAAAATATTAAAATTTGAAGTAAATTGTTAAATATGTTACGTGCTTTCTTGTATAGGGATATTTGTGCACAGAGGTATGAGGGTAATATTTCAAATTGCATACCCAAAGAATAAAGGACTAATCATAAGGATGCTGAAGAGACTGGCAATGGCATTTCAACCATTCCTTTGTTTTACATCTGTGTCTCTTTACCTATTTAGGTGATCTTTTGTTTGCTTTGTAATATTTCTACTTTGATAATTACTATTAAACTGCAAGAACCATTTTCATAGAAAAGACAAATATATAGAACTTTCTCTTCTGGTTTCTTCCATTCTTCCAAGTCACTATGGTGTTTTTGGTAACAAATAGTGCCTGCAGGAAGCAAACAACACCCAAACTGAAATGGATAGTGTGGAGTCAGATTTCCAATATGGGAGTATGTGACCAAAATGGAAGCAGGATGACTGCAGAATTTGGATACACCTTGAGAGGGCTTGTGGTCATTCATGAAGCCATGAAGACTGGACTCATCCTGTGCCTTGGTCAGAAGGCAATAAGCCAAAGTGGACAAACTGCACACCTGCTGCTGAAAGATGACTTGAGCAGTGGGGTTTGCCAGCCTCAGTGCTGATGTAATGAACCAGCACTGATTTCCACTTTTATTTCTGGATCTTCTCCCCAGAACAAACTATTCAACCTTCTATTTAGTGTTCGTTAGTAACTCTTCAGTGCTTCTGCACACCTGCATGTCGGGGAATTTTCTGTAACTTCCCTACAATCCACGTATATACTGTGATTTCAGTGGTAGTCTTTTTCAAACACATCTTATTAGGGCTATTTTATTTTTCCGTCAGTTGCAAAAGTAGAGATGAAGAAAAGAAGATCAAGCTTTTCTTAACTCAGATCCATTTTTATTTATTTATTTATTTTTAAAATTTTTTTATTTTTTCATTTATTTTTATTAGTTAGAGGCTAATTACTTTACAGTATTGCAGTGGTTTTTGTCATACATTGAAATGAATTAGCCATGGATTTACATGTATTCCCCATCCCGATCCCCCCTCCCACCTCTAGCTTCCTCATCCATTCATCTGCTGATGGGCATCTAGGTTGCTTCCATGTCCTGGCTATTATAAACAGTGCTGCAATGAACATTGGGGTGCATGTGTCTCTTTCAGATTAACTCAGATCCATTTTTAAGGCTATTTTATTTTTAACTCTGTCCCTCACCCCATACTGTTTTTTGTTTTTTCTGAATTTGTACCATGTCCACAATTAGGAACTGAAGTTTAAGGGCAAAATGAGAGCTTATCTGAGTGGTATTGTTGCCTTACTGTAGTAAGAGCTGGATGTTTTCACAAAGTTCATTATCTAGACAGGATGATCAAGTGGGAGGGCAATAGTCTCCATCATAAAATCTGCTAATTAGTTTACATCATTCCTTATGAGCTTGGAGTGCTCTGTTATGCTGCTCATAGGATACTGTCAAATAAGAAAGTTAGATTGAAAATAAATGAGTAGAAGAAATGATCCCTGGGCAAGAAAATGAGGAATCATCAATATATGTCAACAAATTTATAGTCAACCCAAACAAGCAAACCAGTTGATTGAAAACCTGAATATATAACCACTTCTAGTAATGCAATAGACATGTTTCAGAAATGAGATTTGAGTGTATTAAGAAGGGTAGAAGCGCAGAAATCTAATATACAAACCAAATGTGTGTATGAACCGTAGTGGGTATTTGTGATCCTGATGTTTATGCATAGGTACTGAAGCAATAACAAAGCATTTAAAGATTTTAAATCATAGAAAAATGATACTTTGGAAATCTGTATGTTTTCTCCAGTGGTTGATGATTTACGTATCAACTTTTCTCCATTTAAAAAGAGATTTAATGTAAGGATTGTGCACCTTCTTGTAAGAGAGCGAGTGATGATGCTAGAAACTTTTCATATCTTTGTTTAAAATCTTTGTCCAGTTTCCTGTTTTAAATGTTTACAAATGGTTTGTTCTGAATGAGATCCTGACTTCTTAAAGGAACAGTTTCTGGTATAATCTGAGTTACTTGCAGCCAGTCAAGAGCTATAGAAGTAGTCTGCTTTAAAACACAGCTACATGTATAGTTTCTGTCCTGGTGCTTTCAGGGAAGAGACACAGCAAGCTGAAGAGACAGAAGAAATGGTGAATGGCAAAACCTGGCTTTAATCACAAGTCTAGTAAGATAAGTGGACAGAAAGTGGACAGAGCCAGGATAGCAATTCAGAGACTTAAATCAGTGCAGCCCAGAGTAGGGTGTGTGTGGATGTGTTTTTCATTACCCCCACTTTCTTCCCCCAGAGTTAGAAACAAGATGGCATTCAGGAATTAATCTGTCAAAGCAGGACATGATCTACTAAGCAGAAATGTGACTGTAAAATTCAACGAAAACTATCCCAATGTCTGAAGGAAGGAGGATTCCCTTAGGATAAGGGCTAGAGCTTGGCAAAAGAAGCATCTGAATGTCATGTTGTGTCACCTGTTCCAGTGCTCTCAGGCTTCTGGGCCCTGGGAAGCCAACTTTAGCTAGTAAACCCAGTCCCCAGCTGCAGATACGGCTGCACTAGACTGTTAGTGTCTGATGCTAGGACATATTCACGTAGTCAACAACCGAGTTCTCTTGTTTTGATGTTCTGCTTCCTAAATAGTCTTAAAATAACTGGACATTTATGCAGCCTACACATTGGGAACGACTTTGACACTACCACCTGGCCATCTTATCCATTTGACAGTTATATATTTCATTGGAGTGAACTGATTGGTTCTGCGCTTCCATACATGTTAGAGGCACAAGTCACCTTTCTTCAGCCTACTGAATTCTGAGGGTTTGTAAGGTCAAATTTCTGCACCTAGAGGCTAAAGGACCAGACCCTATCCACGGTGCATCACAGTCTGGGAGGACTTTGGGGGCTGGTAAGATGATATTTGTCTGGAGATATTCCTATTTTGCTTTAATCAGGACTTTTAAAAAATATATAATTTTAAAAATTTATTTTTGGCTGTGCTAGGTCTTGGTTGCTGCACAGGCATTTCTCTAGTTATGGTGAGTAGGGGCTACTCTCCAGTTGCAGCATACAGGCTTCTCATTGCAGTGCTTTCTCTTGTTTCAGAACACTGGTTCTAGGTGTGCAAGCTTTCAGTACTTGCGGTTCCCAGGTTCCAGAACACAGGCTCAGTAGTTGTGGCGCACTGGCTTTGTGCTCCAAGGCATGTGGGATCTCCCTGGACAGGGATCGAACCCATGTCTCTTGCATTGGCAGGAGGATTCTTTACCACTGAACCACCAGGGAAGCCTCAGGACTTTCTTTAGAATATGTCTACAAAGTTTTTAGG